ATGGCACAGCTAAACAATGATTAGATTGGGACTGATCTACTCAGTAACTAATAATGGCTAGTTAAGTTAAGTTTCTGGGTATAAGTGGCCATAAGGGCTAGGAGTAATCCCCACATTCTCCTAACAATACTTAAGTCTTATGCATGCAGCTACATGAAATATTCTTTTTATGATGACTGGGTTAACCAAAAAGCGGACATTTGATTACGCCAGTAATATACCTGGGAATATTTTCCTAACAATACTTAAGTCTTATGCATGCTGCTACATGGAATATTCTTTTTATGATGACTTGGTTAACCAGAAATATTCGTGGGAATATTCCAAGCGTACTAGAATATTATGCAGAGAATGGGATTTTGCGGTCAGGGCAGTCACATGTATTGGATCAGTACCACTGTTAGGTTTATATTCGCTTGCAGCCGTTGCGTGATGTACCACCGTTTTACATTGTTAGATTCTAGAGTAGGCGGAGCTATGACTGAGCATCGCAAGCGATTTTTGAATGGCCTTGCTACTGAGCTATTGCACTAGACTGTACTTTACCTCGATTTTCAAACGATTTAAAGTTCTTTTTTTATCTGGACTGCGGCAACGTTGCAAATTTAGGGTTTTGGTTGGTAAATACAGTTGTGAAGTTGGTCGCATTGATTAAAACAAACTAAGCTAGTTATAAATCTAATTGTGGTTATGTATAAATTATTGTAGGTTACATTGTACAGTTGTCAAGTTGAGTTGTCGAAATTCGTAGTTAAACATGCAATTAATTTGGCTTTGGTGGTGCTTGGATGAGTAAAATCGTATAAAAAAGTAGTTAAATATAGGTTTACGGCCCAGAAGAGAAAGTATTCCTAGCGGATAATAATCTTCGCTTTGAAAAGAATTTATATAAAAGAAATTAAAATTTTTTGTGAACATAAATGTTGTCCAATGGTGAATAATGTGAAAATAATGTGTGATGTAGGTAATATTTATAAAACCAAATTCGTTAATTTTTTACTCCAAAAATGTCCATAAGGCGATGTACTTTTTCTTCCATTGTTACATTTGGTATAATTTCATCAAAATGAAGTTTTGCCCTCAAAAGGGCTTTTAAATTTGAATTCGTTGCTATTATTTTTGGCATAATTATCGTTTTATTTATAATTGACAAGTAAATTATCAATACTGTGGGTAAAAGGCATAAGGAGATAAGTAAAAAAAACAATTTTTTAATAGAGCCTTTAACGTGTTCGCATTAATTAATTCAGGAAATATATTTATGTTTACCGGGTATACGCTTTTGTTAGCATATGACATATGCTAACATAAGGGTATGCCCGTTAGCCATAAATATATTTCCTGAATTAATGCGAATACGTTTAAGGCTCTACTGAAAAATTGCTTTTTTTGACTTATGCCTTTTACCCACAGAATAATAAATATTATTGTCTATTTGACAGTGTCAAAGTATTTAATTAAATTCTTTAGCAGAAGTACAATTTTTAAATACTAAAAATACTAAGTCAAACTGGCATAAGCCACCAACCTAACATAAAAACACGAGTTAGTCCGATCAATCTAGACATTCGAAGGTACATAAATTTACAACAGGCTGAAAATCAGGAAAATTGTTTAGAATATAATTATAAATAAAATTTTAAAGTTCCCCATCATTCCCCTGTATGGAAAATTTTTTATTTAAGGTCAAAGGTCAAAAAAAAATGATTTTTCGCGATTTTCAGCAAAACGGTAAGTTTTATCATAAAAATACACCAGACAAAAATTGTAGATCATAAAATAATCTATAAAAAATGTTTCAATACATTTTTTTCTACGAGCCACCGTTTCTGAGATATAACGATTCGAAAAATTGTAGAAGTTATAATCGCCATAATAAGCACACGTTTCCACGCCACCTATGAGGTAGTTTACTTAGCGCGTTTTTTACCTTGGTTTTCCCAGTAGGCCTTTTTCACGGGTCAGTTGTGATCCTGTATAATTTGAAACTATTGCAAAATAACGGAAATTAGCATTGATTGGAAAAGATAATAGCGATGTAAATTTAAAAAAAGTACTGAAGTTTATTATTCGTAACATTTAAATTTTTCTTCTTGTTCTTCTTCTTGATCTTCTTCTTGTTCTTGTTCTCCTTATTCTTGTTCTTCTTCATCATCTTCATCCTGAGTACAAGTAAATTGCGTCAATAGCGATGTATCGCATGCCACCTCGTTGGAATTAAATGAATCCTCCACTGTTGGTGATTCAACATTAGAGCACGACCGTCCTTGACAATTCGTACATGCCAGAGAATAAAACAGTCCGACTTTTTTGCAACCACATTTAGTACTCCTTCCCTTTTGCAGTTGCAAAAAATTGTGTTCAGCAGTTTTTCCGGCGCAGGTGGGAGTAAAGTTTGAACTGGTTCTAATGTGTTGTTGACCAACTTCCAACCCCAGTCTGTAGGGTCTAGCTGATAACCAAGCCACACTTGAACTTGGTAATATACCCGAAAAAGATGTTGATGAGCAGCAACTGAGGTTGGAGGAAGACAAGCTAATTGAACTTGTTTTTTACTTTTAGAATTTTTAACGAAACATGCATATCGATACTTATCAAAGCAGGTAGTTTTTTTAGGAGCTAAATCGAATGCCGTTGGTGATTCTTCTTGTTCCGAAGCACCTTTTCCTCGACTTAGGCCGAAAAATCTCCGCTCGTTCGAAAGTTAAGGGCAGACAACGGAACGTGCCAAATTTGACGGAAAAATCGAAAAAAAGTGGACTTGGGCCTTTTCGACACCGGAAAAATTTGGTTCGCGGATTGGTCTCGTGGGAGAAAAAAATCATGCAAATTTCAACCTTCAACGGCCTCCGAGCTACGGCGCTTAGAAAAAAAAAGGATATACAGACAACGGAAAAAATAAATATTGCAAACGGGCCGGATCCGCTGGAAACTTTTCGAACAGCGTTCTTTTTTTATTTTTTTCGAAAAATATTCAAACGTTTTTTAGGGCGAGAGAAATTTTCGAAATTGGCCAAACGAAATACACGAATCGACGGGTAAAAGACCAAAGTTTGACATACTAAAAGATGAGCTTCATCGAATGAAAACTAATTTTTGTTGGGTACGTATTTAAAAAATTTAACCAATTAAAATCCCCGAAATCAAATCGATAAGGTGGCAAATGACAGGTGGCATATGACAGGGACAAATGACAGGTGACAGATGACAGGTGACAGATGACAGGTGACAGATGATAGGTGACAGATGATAGGTGACAGATGTCAAGTTGACAGTTGACAAGTGACTAATGACAGTAGACAGATAACACTTATAAGGTGACAGAAAACGTGAGAAATATAAAATTCATCTTTAAAATTACTACCCAGTTTAGGTGGATGAGCACCATCCATAGCAGGTCACAGATGTTGTCTCGAGGTTACAATGGCGTATAAATTAATTATTTTATACCCAGTCCCTTAAGGGGCTCTAGAGATGTATACGTGGCGTACTCATGCATATTATGACGATTACAACTTTAACAACTTTTCAAATCGTTATATCTCAGAAACGGTGGCTCGTAGGAAAAAAAGTATTGATACATTTTTTATAGATAATTTTATAATCTACAATTTTTAATTGAAGTATTTTTATGATAAAACTTACCGTTTCGCGAAAAAATAATTTTTTTGACCTTTGACCTTAAATAAAAAAATTTCCATACAGGGGAATGATGGGGAACTTTAAAATTTTATTTATAATTATATTCTAAACAATTTTACTAATTTTCAGCTTGTTGTAACTTCACTGTTATTTTTTGGTCTAATTTGACCGGACTAAGTCCAGATAAAAAAAAATGAACTACATACTTTGAATGAAATTGAACATAACCTAGAAACAGTGCTAGAAACAGATTTTGGATTTATTTGTAATTCTCGACACATCTGTTATAACATCGCGACGTCACGCTATCTCTTTAAGGTCTTTGAAGTGTTTTGAAATGTAAATTTTTTTTTAATTTGCGATTATATTGGCATTACTGACGCGGTATGTTTAAAAACTGCGCCGCAACATGCGCAGCGCGATTAAAAATTAACATTATCATTAAGAAGTTAAAAGTTGGCCAACTCTTAATTTAATTTAATCTTAATGTTAATATTAATGTGTTGCATAGAAGCTTCCATTGCATTACGTTTATTGAACTTCTTAGTGATAATTTTAATGTTAATGTTAATTTTTGCTGCATAAATCCACCATTTTAAAACTTGTATGAGTAGATTCCAAATATGGAAAAAAAACCCTATTAAATACCAAATTTTGGTATATAATCCATGTGTCAAAGCACAAATATAGAAAATACTAACTCTAAATATATAATGTTGCAAAGTCCAAGGAAAAATTTAATGAACTTTAGAATAAATGTAAATTTCTGGCAGTTTTTATAATCCTAATTCAAAAAATCGTAAAAAATAAACAGAAACTTTAGTTAAATATACTACTGTAGTATATTTAACTAAAGTTTCTGTTTATTTTTTACGATTTTTTGACTTAGGATTATAAAAACTGCCAGAAATTTACAAACAAATACCTAATTGCTTGAAAACAAAAAAATGCATTTTTTATGTGGTAGGTACAACTATTTTGGACCTTTTGGACATGTTCACTGTAAATAGTAAATATTTTTTATGTACACAGAAAAGATTATCTCTGTTTCAGAGATAAAAATATTTCTACTTTGTCTGAACCTTCTTTTGCAAAACAACATAAACATTAGTAATGTCATTACAAATTTTTTAACTTTTTAATTAAATTACCTAATGTTTATTAACTTTTAAGCGTTTTAATGAACAAATATTAGATTGTGTAATATACAGTGAACTAAATGATTCAACATATTAAAACAAAGTAGTATAAGTGTTAATCATTTAATAAAAACAAAGAACACAGCATAAATAATACGTACGTCAATAAAAATTAAAAAATAGGATAATGCAAACAAATATAATAAAATAAAAGCTCACCTGTAAAATACGAACTAAAATAAAATAATAAAATTGTTGTATTGCAATAACTTGTCTGTTAAAATTTAATAACTTATTAATTAATAAAAACAATTATTAAATGACAGAACACAAAACATTTACTAACACACAATGCAATGTTGCCAAACCATATAAATCGTAAAGTAATATATCAAAATGAATATGGAATAAAGTGTAATTAGGTAATATTCCTGTATTTTTATTTTTTTATTTATATTTACACATTCTAGTTGTTTTTATTGTATATTTTTCTGTTTAAAAATCACCTTATATCGAAATATTCTTATAACGCAATGTTCCTAAACCGAAAGAAATTTGGCAACGTTGGCACTTGCATAGCTTTGGAGGGGGTCAACCCCAAATGTTGCCAATCAACCTTCTTTATCTCTGCAATCAACATTTGTTAGATTAGATCACAATCCACACAAGGTCTGTTCGATCTCGTACTAAAAATACTAAAAATCACTGCACATCATTTATAAAAATACGTATACAGTGTGTATTAAATCGAATTCACCATATGCGAGGAATGCGGTCGATGTTGCCAATGGTAAAAAAATAAAATTCCCTATTGGGAACAATCAATTATATTACGTTGGCTACATTGAAAATTTGAATTTCCCGCACAAACTAAATTAATTTCCATCTTTTTTTTTAATAATAATAAATAATAATAATTCCCACATTTGAAATTCGCAACATTGGAACTACCTTCTTTATCTCTGGGAACTACTAGAATGTATGTCAGTTTGTGCGGGAAATTCAAAATTTCAGTGTAGCCAACGTAATATAATTGAATGTTCCCAATAGGGAATTTTATTTTTTTACCATTGGCAACATCGACCGCATTCCTTGCATATGGTCAATAGATACACTTAAATAAAACAGTTTTGTGTTATCTGCTGAAGTAGATGGATCGGCTATCCTTGAGTGGATAATATGAAACTCATCGCATAAAATTTATTAATGCCATAAATAAGTTGATAATTGTTGAAACCACAAAATCTACAATAGATTGGTAAAGATGCAAGGGATTTCCACAAAGGATAATCGTTATATTGAAGGACTGAATATATTTCTGCAAACAGCCATGTGGTGCTTAGTCGGTTTTTTTTTAATTTTTTTTGCCTCGTAACTTTCGCTGCTAATATCGTGATTTTGTATGTGTAAAAGTGTAATAAAAGTGACTTCCGCTGCTGATATAAGCTTTATTGAATAAACTCTAAAAAAGACAAAAATGATAGTGATGGACATAAGTGAATAAAAAGACTATAAGTGAAAAAAGAATCTAAAAGTGACATAAATAATAATAATTAATAAACTATAAAACCAAGAAGAAAAGGAGAAGCTATAGGTTATCCTAGACTCGCTTTTTCCAGTATAATAATAATAAAATACAGCTGGCTAAATCCCGGAAGGGAAAGGCCAATCAAACCAGAGAAGAAGAAGAAGAAGAAATAAAACAAGTGCCAAACCCCGCCCACTGTGGTACGGAGTGAATTTGTTTGCTTGCCGTATCATTGTCGTCCTTTTCTATGATTGTCGTATGATCTGTGCGCAGTGTCGCCAGCGTCAGTACGTTAGTACCGAATTCAGTACTTTCGAATTAAAAAAAGTACGCAAGTACCTCGTTGATGGTTTTCGGTACGTTTTACAGTTTTATATTTTTTTCCTTTTATTTAAATAAAAATTAAAGAAAAAAGTTTAGGTTGGTGATACTGAGTTATTTTAGTATCCTGGTATTTTTAATTTTAAACTGTTGGTAGCGCGCGTTGTCTACTTAGTGTTGACGTAAGGTTTGTTCGCCAAGAACCGCTCATAGGAATAATAGAAATTATTGAAGCCAAATACCTCAATCTTTGTTAAAAAAGAAAATTAATTATCGATATGTAGACTTTTTTTTTAATTTTACCAACAATATTGTTTTTTTTTTCAAAGTTTTTTTGTATAGGTATAATAATAATTATCTATTTTGTTCTTTTGATGTTTATGGTTTATTTATGTGCATGTGTTTATTGATAGTACAAAATAAAATTACGTTCATATATAAGTTTAATATTTATTTCTCAAAATTGGAGGAAAACCCAAAGTCAGTGCGTTATCTTTCAAATTCAATACGTTTTATTGCCATTTCAGTACTTTAATTTTTCTACTACTGGCAACACTGCTGCTAGCAATACTCTATTAAACGATGTGGCTCCCGTCCCGAGGCGGGACTTAAGTTCAGTCCCGATTGACGTCACACACTGTAAATCAGTTTTTATTCCCCGAGATTTTATAATTTGTGTCAAGCTCGATGGCTTAGATGATAGGGCGGTCGCTTGGCATGCGAGAGGTACCGGGTTCGATCCCACTAGAAGTTGTCAAACTTTTTTTATTTTTTTTATTTTATAAATTTGTTGTTTCTTTGTTAAAAAGTGTTTTATTTTTATCGTAACATAAATTTGCCCATTTTAGTTGGGTTTTTTGCTCAATGGGGCGGGGGGGGGGCCCAATGGGGCGGGGTCGGTTGGGTTGTACAACCCAACCGACCCCGCCCCATGTGTTGTTGAGTTTGGGTTGGTTTGGTTTTATGACGTAACTAAAGTGCCCTTAACATGTATACAGGTACAATTTATTATTATTATTTTATTATAACATAACAAATCTTAAAATTATGACGTCAATCGGGACTGAACTTAAGTCCCGCCTCGGGACGGGAGCCACAGCGTCTATTAAAGTGCCCTATAGAAGTTCCATAATAGAACCAGGGGCGTACCGAGGCACACTTTTTTGGGGGGGGTGGAGACGATAAAATAAAACAACTTATTTTTTATCGATACTTAAGTAGTAATAGTAAAAATTTTCAGAAGTTTTATCATGAATGTAAAGTGTTGTAAAGTGTAGATAAAGAATGTCTTTACCTACCATTAGCAGGCTCTTTTGAAGTCTTTTTTTTATTTGCTACCAATGTATTATATGGATTATCCGGAACAGTAACAATTTTAATTTTAACCAAATTTCCACCGTGAATATTTTCCTCGTGCATTTTTTTCTAGCCCTTGTTAAACACAGATCCACATAATGAGCATTTTACTAGAACTCGGCCCGGTCTAGCTTTCTTTTCCATATTAAAAAAAAATTAATTCCTATTTATTGACACTATAGTTTTACTTAGCTTAGATAAGCTTCAACTAATTAATAATTTAGAAAGACAAAGCCGCGAGGCGGTGCCGACTTTGTACATGCCGCTTGTGTGAAATATAATGTCCTTTAATAAAAATAAGGTTGACCAATACAATTTTCTTGACGGTTACAATAGATTAAAAATTATAATTTTGTAATATGTAGGTAAAGTTTAAAAATTATATTTCATTTTATTTATTGTGATGGGTTGGTTGGTAGGGTAGGTATACTCAACCAACCGACCCAAATACATATACATATACTTAAGTATATGCCCAAATACTATAGATTTTGCCAACCGTGTTTGGATTTGGAACCAACTGCCAAAACTTTGGGGGGGGTGACTCCCCCCCCCTACACCCCCCTTAGGCCCGGCCCTGAATAGAACCCATCAGGGTGGAACCCATATTGATCAGTGTTGTTACAATTGGTACAATTGTACCAAATTCGGTACATTTGAGAATTATCTGGTACAATGGTACCACAATGGCAAATTTGGTACAATTTTTAAAAATTGTTTTTTTTATTTTTGTTTTTTCAATTTATTTTTCATTTTTGTGCCAGCGCCATCTCTTTAGTCTTATTGACACTTAAAGTGTATTTAACCACTACATCGCCGACAGTTGGCAGCAGTGGTGTATGGTTGGCAGCAGTTTTTCGCTGACAGTTGCCATACATAATGTATGCTTTGTTATCTATGATGTATGATACATGTGTTTGTTATTAACCAAAGGTATTTCATTTTATTTATATATTTTTAAATAAATATGCATTTTTTAATAAATTTTAAAATTTGTATTTCCCGCCATTTTGAACAATTTTTAATGTTGGTACAATGTGGTACAATAATTCCCTAGAAACTGGTACAAATATTTTTTTACATGTAACAACACTGATATTGATCCAGATAAGGAGACTATGAGGCCTATTCCCTTTCTTGCTGTTCGTAAACATCGATTTCTTAACATGTATGTTCACCCAACGACAAGCCAAACATTACCTATGTTTAGGGGTATTCCGTTTCTCATATGTTGAGAGTCTTGACCTTGAATCTTTCTGAACAGCGATAAATGTTTTTAGGACAGGGAGTTTCTTAGTTTTATAACCTAAAAGTCGCAGACTAAACTAAAATTTTGTTAGATAATTGTTTTAAACATCATTGGTGATATTTAATATATTAAATGAACTTAAAAACAATTTGGGAAAATCCACAAATTCTAAAAATACCTACTTGGGAAAAACGTTTTATGCTGAAATAGCCAAAGCACAGATCTTCTGGCGGGGCCATCCTTATATGGAAAAGGGTAATCATAAAATATCTTAAAATAATTATTTGTTACTTATTTTTACACACTTTTAGTGTATTGAAAATGGCAAGAAAACTACGCATTTCTCACATGGAGACTGGCAATGTCGGGGAGCCAGTAAAACAACTTAATTACTTTAAGGATAAATTACTAGCCCTAATAGAGGAAGCGCTGTGAAAGTTAGTGGTGGAGGGTAAGGTGGAGGTAATACCATCGTTGGAACTCTTCATTGACCAGCCTTTAAGTTCGGGTGGAAGGGTGCCTTCTACAACAGGGACGCATAAAGAGAAAGTCCAACTCAAACTCTGACGAGTAGTGAAGGTGTAGAGGTTTTACAAGGTATTGATAAAACCTAAAAGATTTTAAAATTAAACCAAAAAGTTTTAGCTCCCATGTGAAGAAAAATAGTTTTTAGATGCATATTTTTTTGTATTTTATTAGTTATACTTTTCTTTGACTAATATTTTGTCTATATTTTTGAGTAATAATATTACATAGGTATTTTATATTTTATATTTGTTGTATTTTTTTAATAAAATATATTTTTCCAAGTTATTTTTTATTCTACCAATAAGTATATATATATAGTTTTAGAGGTCGTTTTTAGACACTCTTGTAACATATAAGTCTTGACCTTCCTCCCCCCAAATTCTCTCTTCACACTCAGATTTTTTTAATCTTCTGTTTTTCTCTAAATAAATATTTATTATTATAGGGGCATTCCACGTTACTCGGTAATTTTTGTCCCGCCCGTCACAATTAAAAATTGTGAGTAAAAACCACAAGTTATAAAATTAATATTTTATAATATTATTTTTATTGTGCTTATAACTTATTAAAAGCATAATAAAACAATATTTTTAAATAAATTTTATAACGTGTAGTTTTTACTCACAATTTTTAATTGTGACGGGCGGGACAAAAATCCCCGAGTAACGTGGAATGACCCTATAATAAAATTATATAAAAAAAAATTAGTAAAGCAAAATTTGTATTCTATAGAATACAATTTTACTATAGTATTATAATTAGGAAATACATTTTAATAATTAAAAAACAAATCAAACATATTTTTAAAATTACCAAAAAATATATTATTATTTGTTTGGTGTAAAACCTTATATGATTATTTAATTATTTATCATTTATAATTATAATTAATTAGGTATTAATTATGAAAAAGTAATTAATTTATAATTACTATGCTTGATAATGATACTGTACTGTATACTGTACCAAACATCGCCGCAATTTATGATTAATGCAAGATAAAAAACCTTAACAGCACCTCTTAGGCAAGCGTTCGTAAACATACGTTTTCAAACATCATGTATGTTCACCAAACATCGAATTTTGGAAACGGAATAGCCATTTTAACACCGATGATGTTTATAAACATGGATGTTTAAGAAATTCTTCGAGCGCATGCGTCTATAGACGAAATAATTGAAAGGGAATAAGCTCATATGTTACGAAACATACGTAGTTCATGAACATGCATGTTTAGCGAAAGGGAATAGGCCTCTATATATAATAGGGATTTATATGTCCTATATGGAACGATCTGGTTTACACTTTGGAATCTATATGGTTTAATATGGAATTTCATTTTAAAATGTAAAACTTAGGGATTTTTATATGGATTTATCTGGTTTCTGTTTTATGTGTCTTTCCACATAGGTTTATATTTAAATGAAAATTGCATATTAAACCATATAGATTCCCCTATATGGTTAAATATGGATCTAGGTATATGATAATCATTTTTTCATAAATAAACCATATTGGGCCAGATAGAGCTCCAATATGGTCCAATCTGAACCTATCCCAGATTATCTGCTAGCCTAGCAGGCAAAAGCAGTTTGCATTAAAAAACTTTTTAAATAAGTTACTGTGGCAAGTTGCCACTGGCAACCCTGTTCTAAATAAGAAGAAGAATAACCATACAAATAACCTAAAATTAAAATTTGGGAAAACATTATTTTTAAATAAAAACATAAAGATGCCACACAAATAGACTTAACTATAAGTGGTTTTATAGTTTATGAATATGTGTTTTCTTTTAAGGTTTAATACTTTTCTGATAAAAAGGTGTTATTCAAGTACCAGCAAACCTCCCTGGAATGTTTTATTTTTTGGGAGTGACAATTTTTCCATCAGCAGTCTAAAAGCTTTATATAATGAATTGTAAGTATAATATTAAAATTTAGAGAACTTTTTAAATTTTCAACAAAAGAATCAGTCGACCCAAAAATTTTGAGATTTTTTTTTTCACGAAGTTGGGTATTTACATTTAAGCCTGATTTATAGATTGCCTTCCTTCCAAGATACATACACCTTCCTACCTTCCTCTCGTAAAAGATGAACTATATGAAAACTGTAGTGCTGTTTATAGATTCCCGTACCCTAAGAATGCCATTCCTTTCATGGACAAGGGATAGGTTGGGTAGGCGGGGGTTAGTGATTCCTTTCTCCCATAGAAATTTTCAAGTTTGATCTTTCACCGTAAAGGTCTCATGTCAAAGTTTGACAGTCAAACTAATCACAGTACTTGATATAGACACATGCTATAGGGCTATGACACGCAGATACAAAATATTTAATATAACACGTTTTGTTTAAATAAAGTTGTTAAGCTATATTGTGTTTTTTAAGAAATAAATTAAAACATGGCAGGTAAATATACTTAAATTTTGGTGTTTACAAGTTAATTATAATTTATAACAGCTGATATTATTTGTGTTTTATAAAAATTAATACCTACTTATTTTTTGAAAATTTAACTACTCTACTACTAAGATTTTAATGAATATTCAATAAAATTAAATAGCAATGGTCAAATTGCCAACATTCTTTAAGTACAAATAAACAAAAATATCAGTAAAATTAAAATTTAATTTATTAAATAATAATAAGTCAAAGGTAATAATTAGGTACAGGGTGTCCCTGACATTGTTATTTTTATGAATTTTTTAAAACTTAACGCTTTGGATCCGTTTTTTGATTACCACAGCTACAAAATTCCATATTCTAAGATTCTATTTTATGTTGTACAACCCTGAATAAGCCTGGTATTGATTATAAAACTAAAACTAATGATAGTTTTTTACCTTTTGAAAACAAACAATTTTTCCCGATTTTATTAGTTTTACAAAATTCATAAAAATGCCAGTATCACAAAAACTAATTTTTTTTTACTAGGGTCATGTTTTGATATTCTGATTAGTCATGAGCAGGCCTATTGGTCCTTCAAAGGATATCGTTGACTTTTGGGACACCCTGTATATACATATATTTGATCTTGAATTCTTTGTTGTTTTAAGAGTGGTTCTAATTGCCCAACAAAAAACTGAAATGGTCATCCTAGTATAGTAGTATACAGGGTGGTCCAGAATTAATCTGAAAAATTTTAATAATCGATAGAGCCTGAAAAAACAATAAAAACAAATTCAAAAACATTTTTCAAAAATACACACTAACACACTAATAGCCCTTCAAAGGCAAAAAAACGTTTTTTTTTTAAATAACTTTAAAACCATTAAACCGATTCTGCTCAAATTTTGTGTAGGTAAAATTTTTTACAAAAGGCCCAGCTGCGGAGATTTTGGGGGGTTTCCCCTTTTTACCCCCATATTTCGACACCACTGGATTTTATTGGAAAATCATCAGATTTCTTATTCAATTTAGAAGTAAAACTTGTGTGTTTAATTTTCATAAGATCAGTGGTTTCGGAGATATTTGACTTTAAAATTTCAAAATTACCGAGTACACGGAATTTTATCATAATATTTTATTTTAAATCAGTAACTTGGTAACAATTATGCCACGTTATCAGTTTAGCAACATCGAATATGCAGATATTCATTAAGTTTATGGACTATGTGATGGAAATGCGCTAGCGGCAGTTAGGGAGTACCAAAAACGTTTTCCCAACAAAAGAATACCCAACGTCCAAGTTTTCATCGACTCTTACCAGAGGTTTCGAGACTTTGGACTACGAAATAATAATGAACAAAATGTACGTGAACCAAGATTAAGACGACGGAATAGAAATAGGATACTGGGAACTTTTCAAAATGATCCAGGGTTGAGCTTCCGGAAAGCTGCTTTAAGACTGAATACCTCAAAGTCAAATATTCTAAGAGTTCTTCATGACGACCACCAGAAACCTTATCATTACCGCCCGGTTCAAAATCTTCTTTCTTGAGATGCAGAGAGAAGGATGGCATTTTGTAGGTGGGTCCTGGAATCAGCAGAAGAAGAGCCCAATTTTGCTTGGGCACAGGATAACCCAAAAGCAATACGATAGAAGTGCTTTCAACAACAAACTTTGGATGCTGGGGGAATGCATTTTAAAAATCTGTTATAATTTGTTACAAGCTACTGTTACTGTTATAATTTGTTACCAAGTTACCGATTCAAGATAAAATATTATAAAAATAAACTAGCGTCTAGGAGTCATCGTGCAGTTGTTACTGATCCCGTCATAGTTTTAGGTTGTTTTATTGTAACGTTGATTGAGAATTACAATCAACGTTTGTAATTAATAATTTAATTGTATTATAATACAAAATCAAACCAACCCAAAAACCACCCTATTGAAAGCGATTATTCCATTATTCCATTGGTAAATTTTTATTGGCCAAAACTAACGTTCAGAAAAAAAATCATTTTTTATTACTAAAATAATAAGAAAAGTTACGTGTACACAGTGTTTTTGAAATTTTAAACTGAAATATCTCCGAAACCACTGATCTAAGAAAAAATTAACATAAAAGTTTTGCTTTTACATTGAAAAGGGATAAAAATAAATATGATGATTTTCTAATAAAATCCAGTGGCGTCGAAAATATGAGGGTAAAAAGGGGAATCCCCCCAAAATCTTCGCCACTGGGCCTTTTGTAGGAAATTTTCATTATATTATCGACAGAAGCTTAACCTACACAAAATTTGAGAAGAATTGGTTTAATGGTTTAAAAATTATTTTAAAGGACTATATCTCCGTTAGTATGCATTTAAAAAAAATGTTTTTGGGTTTGTTTTTATTGTTTTTTCAGGCTCTATCGATCATTAAAAATTTTCAGATTAATCCTGGACCACCCTGTATATAAAAAAATATATATAAAAAAAAAATTCACAAATTTTATCATAATACTCAATTATATATTTGAACAAATAAAAGGGGAGAGCTATTCCTTTAATATTTTCCACAAGGTGAGGCTTGGGTTCTTTTTCTTTGTTCATCTCCCAGTTTGATGCACATTGTTTCTATGTTTTTGATGTTAGATTCAGATTCTTTAAATCTTTGGGCAAGTTCTTGCAGACTTGAAAGGATATTGGGAATATTAATAATTTCATAAAGGAGGGTGTTTGTTGGGTTATGGAGGGGGTTGTTGGGGTGTCGGGGTTTTTGTAATTTATCTTATTGCTGTTGTTTCTGCAACTTCCAGGCAGGTTTTGGTAGGTACTGTTCATGAATAAGATACTACCATATTCCTATATTTTTTTGCAGTAAGTTTAAATATGCCTTTATTTTGGTACGTTAGAGATCTAAAGTGAGCCGCTCTGTTAACTGTGTTGGTTTTTCATCATTTGTTTTTATTTAGAAAAAAATACATCTCAATGTGCCCTCATGGGCCACTACAATAAATATAAAAATGTACATATAAGTATGTGTATATATATAAATAAATAACACTTAACCTATTCAGTCTCTTAAATTAATTATATATTCTTTAATTGCTTTTTTGAAATCTTTGGTGTTAGGTTCCTTTAATTTCGCCGGCAGCTTATTGTATTTTTTTATTCCCTCATTCATCAGTTGCTTTTGACTACTTTTTATTTTGGCTCTATCTATTCTTATTTTATCTCTGCTTCTAGTATTGTATTTAGGTATTTCTTTTTGTTTGGTTAATTTTATGTCACTGTCCACGATTTCTTTTTTGTTGATTTTATGTATTATGTTTTTAATGTTTCCAGTTGTTGTAATCCATTAATATTTAAATGCTTTGTTCTTTTATATACTTCTTTTGTTACTGTATCTTTTTTAATATTATATAGGACCGTAATGATTTTGTTTTGTGCTCTTTTTAATTTGCTTATTTCTTTTTTATTAGCTGTTCCCCAAAAAGGTATCATGTATGTTAAATTGCTTTGCACATATGCGTCGTATAGCATTTTTTTATGTTTTAGTGTTATGTAATCTTTGACTCTATATGCTATGTTTATTTTTGACGAAATTTCCTTTTTTTAATTTATTAATTTGGGCTGTGAGTTTTTTGTCCAATATTAGTCCTAGGTATTTGATTTCCTCCACTTTTTCTAATATAGTTCCATTTATTTCAATGTTGATGTTGTGTTCTTTCACTCTATTTTCTATATGTATAAGGTAGCATTTATTTTCATTAATTGTCAATTTATTTGCGTTTGTCCATTTTTGTATTGTTTTTATGTCTTCTGTTTGTTTTGTACTTCTTGATCTCCTCCCTCATAGAACATTGCTTAGTCATTAGCATAGATCATGTGTTTCCCATTTAATTTATGCAAGGTTAGGTCGTTATATATATGAGGTAAAGAAAATGCCCTAATATTGACCCTTGTGGTACTCCACAAAGTACTTTTGGATTTGTACTTGTACTTTCATAATTGTTTGTGTGTCTTCCATAATTGTTTGTGTGTTTTGTCTTTTAGAAATGCACATGGAATGGTAATTCATAGCGCCAAACCCATTCCAACCAATTAAAACCAATTAATATTTTTAAATTTGGATTAAAAAATACCTACCAGTTTATTTTTCATTCAAAAATAATTTTAGATCCCAGTAGGATCCTATAGGATAACCGGGTAAAAACCAGAATTCATTTTTCACAGAAGAGACAAAAAAATTCTGTTACTAAGTAATTTTATTTCTTTATTATTTTTTTTGTTATATAGGTACCTATGTATGTATTAATACATATCACAAAAAAGTAATAAAAAATAAAATTACCCGGTTATAATCATTTTTTTGTCTTTCTTGCAAAGGATGTTTATAGGCATGGTCAAAGTCGATATTGTTTATGTCAATTTTTTTTATTTTGTCCGCTGTGACAACCATTCTTACGCCATCGTCCCTAAACCTTACATATATAAACATTTTTTTAAGATAAAAGTACACTACTATCACTAGGCATTTAACACATAAATCG